AAGAATTACTTCTATTTACCAAAGTAACATTTATTTTTGTGGGTTTAGCTAACCAAAGCAAAACAGCTACTGCTAACGCAGTTAGCGGGCTAACTAGCAGGGCTAGCTCAGTATCTTGTACGCAGTTACATTATTGAAAAACGGAAATGGCTTCAACAACAAACTACCAACTTCTTATAGTTTATAAACATAAAGCTCACCCGTAACAAATGTACTCCTGTTAGCCAAACTCTGGACCTCTGTAGAAACACGCGTAGCCTGTTAGTATTCACCGTCTCTAAACGGTCTAAATCCAGTAAGTTTTCAAATTTGTCCGAACATCGCGCCAAAGCGGCGACACTCTGACGTCACTTGCCCCCGCCCACGTTGACATGCTGCTGTTTGACCGAACATTGCCACCTGCCGGACGCTCGGGCACACTACAGCACAAAGTCAGAAACTTTACAAACCACAATTACAAACGCAGACACACACAAAGGACAGAGAAAAGGTTTTTGAGGTAGTAGCTGTATTCAAATGATTGAAACACAATCACCCCCTCTCCCCAGTACCAATATTTCAGCTACAGAAATGACAATACTTTAAAAAAAAATTCTTACTTCCTATGCAGCACTCAGTCAAATGTTAAAATGAAATGGTTCAATTCACTACCACAGGTGACTAATACTGTCAAGGTGCAGCATTTTTTTTTTTTTTTGTAATTTGCCCTCTTCTTATATCGAAAAATTAAACTAGTGTTCCAAGGCTAAGCACAAGAAACTAACCATATGACAAAGCATCAAATCATCCATGGTCTTTTTTTTTGGAAGAAAATATAATTTTGTAGTTGTACATGTGAATACGGTATAGAGTATCGTGGAAAATTCAAATGTCATACCATTATGGGCAGTTATAGTGTTTATTAATCACTCAGAAAATAAAATGTAAAAAAAAAAAGTCACAAAAAGAGCACCAAAGGTAACAACAAAAACTCAAAATTAGTGTTAACCATTAAAAAAAACCAAACAAAAAAAAACCCCCAAAAAAAACCAAAACAAAATTTAAATACATTTGTAACACTTGGCTCCTTCAAACACTCTGCATCAGACCAAGGCAAGTACGTAAACCAAAATTTAAAAAGCACCAAATGTTAAGGAAGATGAGAAACAAAAAGTTCTAGTAACTAATGAAGAAATATTCTTCTCATTTTCCATCTGATCAGAGTCCGTGTTTCGTTCCAGGACAACCATTTGTTCTCACTTCCTCTTTCTGTCCTGAGAGCACCGTGGACAGTACCTGCATAGCATAAATGAAGAGTGGTGAGGGTGCACACTTTCAACACTCTTATTGAACACATTTGTGAAATTAGATCACAGTCTCAATTTCTTTTAGTTTTGTTTACCATTTGCCTCTCGGTTTGGTTGTCAGCCCCACACATGCGAAATGGAACCACTCAATGGAGCACTGGAAAAAAACAAACAGACAAAATACTGGTAAGTGTTGTGCAAATGAAGCAGTTGGGACAGACAAAAATCAAATTTTTCTAGAACACATGATGGAGAACAATCTGTTCAAAAAGAGCCATCACATGTAATATTCACAGTGTGGCTTCTGCTAATAAATCAGTCACACTGCCATCTGTGACCTTATCCACACAGCGAGGCACCGGGCTGCAGCACCTTAATTTATGGTTAGCATCTTGGAAATGTATGTAAGAGAGAGCCTGTACATGCACTTTATAAAGTATAACAGACACATAATACCATTTCAGCTTCTATTTTTTATTATTAATCTGATTTAATGCTCGCAGAGTCAGCTCTGTATGATACAATTATACTGTCGTGACCTTTTTTGATATGTGGATGGTATTTATTGATATTAAAATAAATAATATCATTCCTTCATTAAAGGGACCAGTGAAGGTACC